ATAGCTTCAATATCTTCTCATATCTCTGAGGGTATTCATTGTGACCTTGTAAGTGCTTTTCTCCCCAAGTTAACTTTGCTTCTTCTAAGTTGCTTTTTTCCATGTTTACCTGGCCTTTTTCTTTCCTCTTGGTGGCTTTTATGGGTTTGGAGATCTTTGTGCACTTAGGGAGACAAAAAGGCCCGTTGGAAGCTCTGGGTATGTGAATGCAGATTGTCCCGAGACAATCAGGCTAGATGAGATCTCCTCTTGGAGATTTTCAGTATCAGTATCTTTAGGTTATCACCAAATTGTTTCTTGTCTTAAAGGTGGATGCCTGGCCTCCATGGTTTCTGGGGAGGCACAGGAGGGCTGTGAGTCTCAGCCTCCTGTGCCTGCAAACTTGCTGATGCTCTGGCTTTCAGTACGAGACTCCCACCCTCAACCTGCCCATTCAGGGAGCCTCCTGTTTGATCCTTTCTGGAGAATAAACTTGCATGCCTACTGCCAGGATGGGCAGACAGTGTTTGGCCGTGCACAGCTGGGAGAGAGCCTGGGAATCTGTGTCCCCTATAGACTTTCAACTATTTATTTTAACCCTATTTTCATCTTGATTTCCAGCGATAACTGGTTATACCCTTTCCTGGGCCTTTGGATAGTTCTAAAATTTAATCACATTGCTTTTTGGGTTTTCCCACTGTTGGCCTAGAACTCTGTTTTCTCAGATCTACTGAGTTGCTAGGTTATTTATTACTCTCTCATCTGCTTTTAGCTTCCAAAATTTTATAGCTAGGATTCTGTCCCATTCTCTCATTCTTTCTTTTTACTTTACTGTCCCTTGGGAGAGTGGGATTTCGAGAGGGGGTAAAAGTGGAAGCATTGGATCAATCCACTGTCTTTACCTTTAATCCTCTTTTTCTTCTCTGATTTTTCCTTAATACATTTTCTTTTTTTTTTTTTAAAGATTGTTTATTCATTTATTTGACAGAGAGACACAGCGAGAGAGGGAACACAAGCAGGGGGAGTGGGAGAGGGAGAAGCAGGCTTCCCGAAGAGCAGGGAGCCCGATGCGGGGCTCGATCCCAGGATCCTGGGATCATGACCTAAGCTGAAGGCAGATGCTTAACAACTGAGCCACCCAGGCGCCCCCTTAATACATTTTCTATCTTACATGGTATACTACTGTTAGGTGTCTTCTTGATAATTTATCTTATTCCTTCACTTGTTCCTGTGCATTTTAGGATCAGGTCATTACATCGCATACAACAACCACAATAAAATGAAAAAGAACCTTGGAATTTTTATGGCAATTTAAAAAATTTATATAGTACTTTGGGGAGAATTGGTATTTTTTTATCATTTTAGATCTTCCCATCTATTTGAATAAGGTACTGTTCTCTATTTCTCTAAAAAAGAGAGAGAGAGAGAGAGTGAGAGTCTGTGAGCAGGGAGGGGCAGAAGAAGAGGAGAATCCTAAGCAGGTTCCATGCTCCGTGTGGAGCCAGAAGCGGGGCTCAGTCTCACGACCCTGAAATCATGACCCGAGCTGAAATCAAGAGTCGGATGCTTAACCGACTGAGCCACCCAGGGACCCCTCAATTCATCTCTAATAATCAACAGGAATTTGTGTGGCCAATTGCTGGCAGAGGTGGTGTGTGGCTGCAGAAGGGTGGCCGAGTGAACCCCAGTTGCCACGACCCGGTGCGTGAGGGAGGCACCTTACAGCACGCCGCCCGTGGAGACCCAGCTGACTGCAGCTGCAGCAGCGGCCGCGAGTACGGGCAGCAGAAGTGCTGGCCTGGCTAGGCCTTGAGCAGATTGCGGACCTGTAGAATCACGAGCAAAGAGAATGGGGTTGTTTTAGGCTCCACGGTTTAGGATGGTTTGCTCCACAGTGATGGGTCACCGCTGAGATTTGTGAACTTCTTTGTGAAGATCTTACACTTTTTTGTTCTTCTGTCAAATGTAGTCCTGTGTTCCTTCTACATTTTATTGCACTAACGCATGAGCTCTCTTTCTCTACTACATTTTCTAAGTAGCTCTAACTGATTTATAGAATTGCATTAATTTTTATATGTTGTTTTTGTATGTAACACGTTTCCCGAACTTTCTTATTTTAACAATATGATAGAATCTAATTTGTCCCGTTAACGAAGTTTTCTCCAATTCCTAGTTTGCCAAGACTTCAGTCTTTATCATGAATGGCCATTGATGTATATTTAATAGATATATTTAATGGTTTTCAACATTAACATGAACATATCAATTTCTCCTGCAGTTAGTTCATATAGCGTAATACCTAGAAAGATTTTCCGATGTTAAACCATCCTTATGTTCCTAGATTAAATCCTACCTGGTTATGATATATTTTTCTTTATACACTGATATATTCAACTTGTTAATTAGTTCATTTAGGACAATTGTACCAAGTTCATCTGTGAACCTGATCTTCCTTTTCATTATTTGTACTGTCCTTGTTTGCTTTTGTAACAAGGGTCATATTAACTTCATATGATGAATTAGTTAGTCTTCTTTTTCTATGCTCTAAATAAGTTTGTATACCACAGGAATTATCTGTTCTTCCAAGTTTTGATATAATTTATGTAAAACTATCTAGGCTTGTCATTGTGTCCTCTTCCTTCTTCTCCTTTCTTTATTTGGAAATCTTTTTAGACTAAGAAAAATTGCAAAATAAGACAGAGAGCCTCTGATACACCCTTCACCCAAGCTGAACCAGACTTTTTTTTTCCCCTGGAGAACTACAGTCAGTCTGATGACACTGCCTGAGGGCGGGGGCGTCCAGCGAGTTTCTTTAAGGAGCTCATCCCTCCATCCTCAGGGTCTTCAGATCCTCCTCAGCCCCTCTCAGCTCTTACAGAGACTTGGATTCTGTGGCTGCCGGGGTATAAGGTGCAGGTAACTGGTAAGAAGCCCGGCACATGACCAAGTGTTCCCCAAGCACCTTCCATGGCGCCAACACTGTGGGGCTCTGAGTGGGCTGCCAAAAGTGTCTGACCCAGTCTCCCCCTTCACGGAAACTGCCCTCTCCCTGGGAGGAAGATCTGGGCTCAAAGCATGTTGATACAAGGTGGAGTTCAAACTAGGCTACCTGGAGGTAACTGATTCGTGTTAATGAGATAAGGGGTGACAGATCAGCAGCCGTTGGACAGCTGGATCGTGGAGCAGGAGGGTGGTGGTGGGAGATGGGGTCAGGAGGCAGGGGGTAGGGAAAGCCAAGTTTCCCTCAGGGGCAGGCAAGTGGGCTCCCACATGGAAGAGTGGGGCACATCAGAGGACAGAGTGCAGGGGTGAAAGGTGCGGGGTGTGTGTGTTGGGGAGGGAAAGATGATGACATAGAGGGAATGACAACAATGAAAACAAACTTTCCCACTGCACAGTTGTGCCCAGGGCCAGCCTGGGGCCTGTGAGCCATCTGGTAGGACCTGCAATTTCCCTCATATGAAATTGTCTCCTTTCCCTTCCCTTCCTTCTTGCCCTTACTCCCGCCCATGGGTGTGCGCATGATGGCACAGTGCAATTTACAAAATTAGTACATTCTGGTGGACCCCACCCCGTGCCGCCTTCCTGGTGGCCCTGTGATTTCATGGGTGACATGTTTGGCAGGGTCCCTGCAGCCCACGCACTGCTGAGAGAAGTCAGAACCCTTAGGGCTGGAAACCCATAAGGGTTGTGGATCCTCTCCCCTCTCCTTCCCCAACCTCAAGGCATCCCAGGGAGTATTTTTGTCGAGCATCAAGTGTGCACCGAGGTGACACTGGGCAAGGGGGGCTGCATGAAGGAATGACCAAGATCTGATCACTGTCTTCAAAGTTTTCCTGGACCTTTTTTCTCCTCCAAGAGTCCTGTGTGTCAGGTACTCCCCAGTTTACAAAGTGCTTCCCTGTTGAACCTCACCCAATGTCCCTCTAGAGGAGTCAGGGAGGGTTTTGTAGATCTCCTTTCCAGGTGAGGAAACCAAGCAATCCACCCACCATCATGTCTCTGGTGAGGAGGAGGCTCAGGAAGGAACCGTGGATCTTCTAGTTCTAAATGGAGTGCTCTCACGTCTCAGAAAGGAACAAATGTCCAGACTGCGGTCTGAATGGTCGTCAGACTCACGCCACGTCAGTCTTTTAGAAAGCTGCGAGTACTTCCTACATCACACACTTGGTTTTTGGTATTTCTTAAGGAAAGAAACTGAAAAGGCTAAGAAATGAGAGATATAAATAAGGGCTGGTGAGCACTAAGAAAATAGCCATGTGCCCACCTCTCTCTGTCTCTGTCTCTCTCTGACTCTGTATCTCTCAAAGTTCTTCCACACCCTGTATTTCATGGGACTCCTGCATCCTGTGGGGGACTAGCTGACAATCACTGAGCCCTTACTCTGGGGCAGGCCTTGTTCTGCACACCCCACCACATCACTTCATTGCATCCTCAACAACCCAATGAGGTAGGGAATTTATTATCCCCATTTTGCAGTCGAGGGAACAGAGATGGTGAGCCATCTGCCCAAGGTCACACAGCTAGGAAGGCGGGGAGTCAGAATTTGAAACCAAGGTGGTCTGCCTGCAGGGCCCAGGCCCACAACGTCATGGAGCAATGGGCAAGAGAGGGAGCACTTGAGAGAGGATAGGTGAAGGGTCTTCCTTGAGGCTCTGTACTTGGCCCCAGAAACTGGGGCTTCATCTGGTCTCTGTGCACCAAACTCCTTCCCTCCACGCCATAGCCAGGAGGAGAGAGTGGGGTGTGTCTGTAGCAGTCTCTTGTTCCGGCTTCACACAGTGGGGTTCAAAGCTTTAAAGATGTCACAGTGAGACAACAGGCATTGGCAGAAATTGTTCCCCTAGATTGGGTCACACTGTCCCAACCATTCACTGAGGTCTGGAATGTGGCTTGCACAGTGCTCAGTGGGCAGGATTCAGAGGAGAACAAGCCAGTGTCCACCCTAGTGCAGTTTATGTCTGTGCGGAGGCAGGAAAAGAGACCTGTCCAGTTCACCGAGTCTTTCCTTCGTTCCCCAGCTGTGTGTTGAACTTGCCGTGTACCACACACACTGATCAGACGCCTGACGCTCCTCAGCGAACAGAAGACATGAGCGAGCCTGCACTATGGACTTCACTCTACTGGGGACAGATCATGAAAACAAATGTCATAAGTGAGTCATACATCGAGTGTGTGAGAAGCTGATAAATGCTCTGAGTACAGTGGGGTTGTGGGGGGGCAGGGGAGGGTCTTAAGTGGAGGGGGCTGATTGGGCCTCTCTGAGGTATCACCTCCCAATGAAAACACTTGCAGTGGACTCCTTCTTCCAGGGTGTGATTTGGGGGTGGGGAGTCAATTTTAAAATGTCTAATATGGTTCTTTTGTTCATAGAAAATGAACTCACTTAGACCCTTTGGGGGACCCTGAGTCAGCTTTTGGACACACTGTGTCTGAGATGCTTGTGGGCCCTCCAAGTATAATGTCTGGGAGATAGCTGGACATCTGGGTCCTCGGCATCAGAAAGCAGTTGGGGCTGGAGAGGCAGACTCAGGGCTGTCAGGACAGGAGCTGGTCAAGCCACCCGGGGAGAGCCTGCAGTGGGAGGAGGCCATTGCAGAGGGTGGAGCACGGAGAAACACATTCAAGTTCATGCAGGGGGAGGCAGGTGTGCAGAAAGCTGGGGGGAGGCCCAGCCTGAGGGGGAGGGGCCAGAGAGGTAGCGGGTGGTGCATGGAGTCCTGGAAGTGGACAGAGAACCCCGGGGCTTGAGGAGGAGGGGGTAGTCTGAGCACCACTCACACTGGGGGCCTTGCAGGATGGCTTTCTACCTGGGACTTAGAGCTCCCAGTGCTGTCGGTGGGAACTGTCTCTACAGAGGGGCGGGGCAGGGTTGCAGGGTGGAGAGGTGAAGGCAGAGTCAGCAGGTGGAAAGGGGCCCTTTGGGAAAATTGCCCTGGGTGGAATACAGAAGAGAAGATTGGAGGGTGACAGAGATTCCTGTATGTTCAGACATGAAACGGGAAAAACTACCATGGGTGGAGGGAGTGCGGAATATTCAAGAGTTAGTATGGTGGGGGAAGCGTGTTTAAGGAAGAAGGGGTAGGAGTTGTGTTGATGGAGGTGGGGGGAGGGCAGGAGGAGACACACGAGTACCCTGGACCCTTCAGAGCCTTTCGCAACCAGTCAGGACCCCATGACAACACCGTGAAGCAGACAGGATCAGGTCTCCATTTCCCAGATGGGCAATGAGGGCACAGATAGGTTCTATGCTTGCCCCAGGTCACACTAGGGGGACACCTGCAATGTCTGATCCCTTGTCCTGGGCAGGACAGATCCCTCACCTTCTGAATTTCTTCCTGCATTTTCCAAATGCACCTTGGACCATGCAGCTGCCTTCTAGCCTCCAAGATGCCTTGAAAATGAACGCTCGAGGCAGCAGAGTGACTTCAGGAGGCAGGATGTGCATTTATCCCAATTGACAAGACCAGCCTGAGAACCATGAGCAGATGAGGATGAATTTCTGCAGTGTGTGATGGCAAGAGGGCTTTCCCCAGGAGCTGGCACACCTCACCAGGGGCCACTCATTCATCCTACTAGTGTCTGGTGAGGGCCTCCTGTGCGCCAGTCCCTGTGCCTGGTGGAACTGGGAAGGGAGGCACTGGGGCGCTGGAGAGCCTGGGGGCCCATGAGGGCCATGCAGCGGGGAGGCTGGGGACAGCAGTGTTGGGTGCTGATTTACACCCTTGCCAGCCAGGGAAGGTGCAGTCAGTGAACCAAGGGCAAGAGCCCTGGGCTGGGAGTCCAGAGACCCGGCTTCTGGTCTTGGCAGGGCGGAAGACTTCCTGAGTAAGATTGCTCCTCAGAATCTGCTCGAATGCAGTTCTGCTCAACAGAACATTCTGTGAGGATGGAAATGTTCTGTTCTGAGCTGTGTGTTATGGCAGCCACTGGCCACACGTGGCTCCTGAGAACATGCAATGTGGCTCTTTGGACCGAGGAACTGACTTTTAAAGTTTATTTAATTTTAACCTTAATTTCATTGCAATAGCCACATATGGCCAGTGGCTACTGTTTGGGTCAGTACAGCTGTAAGTACTTAGTGACCTTCTAGTGACCAAATTCAACGCCCATGTTTGTGTCTGGGTCTCACTTACTGTCCATGCGGCATCCCTGTGCCTCTCTTAAACACCACATCTTGTCCCGGCCCTTCCCTTTGGCTCCTATAACTTCAGGAACCTCCATACACCTATAGCCCACAGATCTGTTTCTCTCTGACTCCTTTCCTGGGCTTCTGACCTAATTTCCAAATGCTTTTTTGGATGTCTCCACTATAATCTCTAAATAAATATGTCCCAAGGTAAGCTCATTATTTCTCCCCACCTTTCCAGACCCCCTTCAAAAAAAAATGTCACCTTTCTCTATTTCTGGGCTAACAGGTGGGGAGGGGTGTGTTCTTAAAATGCTCTCTCTCCCTCCATATGTAATAAGTCACTAAAACCTGTCAAGTCCAGGTCAGACCTTTTCCTGAAAGCATCCCTATCTCTGTACCTTCACCATTCACACTATTGTATGTGCAGAGCTGGCTCTATGAGCCGTGGGTCCAGTGCAAAATGCAGGGTCCCAGGGTGGGGGGGTGGGGGGGAAGAGGAGGGTGGGGAATCAGTCTCCCTTCTCATGGGACTCCATCCCCATCCATAGATGGATGGGTTACCCCTAAGGAATTGCAACCAAACAGAAGCTCCCTGCCTGCACTGGGGGTGGGCAAGAGGCCCCTGCTGACTCAGCCTGACGTGTCATAGCACCACCAGGCCCGGGGCAGCGAAGGCCACTGCTCAGCCCTAGCCTGAGACACCAAGGGGCGTGTGCCCAACCCTGGACCTCCCTGAGCTTGCCTTGGCCTCCAAAAGGGATGAAGGGCAAAGCAGAATATGACCCCCACCACCAATGAGATGGGGGTCAAGTGATGGGGGTGGGAGAGGGGAAACTGGGTGGAGCCTGAGGTGCCAGGGGGCATGGTGTAGATGGCTGAGAACCCATCTTAAGGAGGCAGTGGGAGGTGGGACTGCTCAGGAGCAGAGGCTCCAGGCCCTCAGTATATCTCCTTTGTCCTGGGGACTCTATTCACAAAACACAAAGTCAAAGATAACAGGATCAAGAATTTCAAGATGGTGCCCTCTAAGCATTAAAACCCCACTTATAGGGCCCGTGTGAGTGCAGAGTCCTGGGTAGCTGCTCTGGTCTGGATGCCTCCCTGCCCATGTCCTGACTCCTTATGCTCACTGTCAGTCTCAATCATTGTTTACCTTGCTTTTTGTTCTTTCTGAGCTACTCAAAGGAACCAGACCCAAAGAAAGTTATTAACTAGAGGTTATAGTTATATAAGGATTATATTTGGAAATGCATCAGGTGTGTGATGCAGTCACAATGATGGGAAGTGCTTATGGAGTTCAGCAGGCAGGGATTAGAGGTGCTAAATGTCCTGCAACAGTCCCGAGCCAGATGGCAACAGTGCCCTCCCAAAACCACTGTCCTGGATGCTGCGACATCCTGGTCCTGTAGTACGTGCTGTTCCTTCCTGGGATGCCTGTTTCGGGCTCCTGGCCTTACACAAATCTTTAGCTATTCATCCCAAAGTCTCCTGTGGCCCAGCTTCAGAAGCAGAACCCGTGACTCCTGTGTATCTACCTTCACTGATCCACATGCCCTCTCCCTCATAGCTGCCGTCTCATGGGGAGCTTCAGTCAGGAGGAAAGAGCCTGGGGTTGGGGGGCGGTCAGCCCTTCCCTGGCTGCAGTACTCTTTATGCCATCCATGAGCAGGGAGGCCCCAGTAAGTCGTTTCTCCCCTTTGATCCTTCCAGCTCTGAAGTTCAATTCCCCACATTCCGCCATCATCAGAAAGCCCTCACGTGCTTCTCAGAAAACAACCCTTCAACTCGTGCCATAACCTTGATGGATAACGTCACATCCTCGCCTTCATTTCCTCTGTCTTTTTTCCTCATCCAGCCTTGAACTGAAGATGTAAATCATCTTGGCTTTATCCAGGACACACACACACACCTCTAGGAGGAGAAGGGAGATGGGAAAGAGAGGAGGGTGCAAATCAGCATTTGCATCTGTTTAAAATAAATTATTATTGTGGTAAAATAAACGTAATATAAACTGTAACATTTTAGCCATTTAAAAGCGTATAATTCAGTAGCATTAAGTACATTCCCAATGTTGTAAGACTATCACCACAACCCATTTTCAGAATATATTCATCATCTGGAACAGAAATTGTACACCCATGAAACACGAACTCTCCGTTCTTCCCTCCCCTCAGCCCCTGGTGACCACCATTTTACATTCTGTCTGTATGAATTTGCCTACTCTAGGGAACTTATGTAAGTGGAATCATTCAGTATTTGTCCTTTTGTGTCGGACTTACTTCACTCAGCTTAATGTCTTTTAGATTCATCCATGTTGTAGCTCGTGTCAGAATGTCCTTCCTTTCTAAGACCGAATCATCTTCCGTTGTCTGTAGAGATGACACTTTGTTTATCCATTCAACCATAGATGGATATTTGGGTTGTCCACCTGTTTTCTTTTTTTTAAAGAATAGTGTTTCTGGATAACCCATATGAGTCCAGCATGGGGAGAGTATGTCAAGAGAAGAATAAGCATCAGACCCCCCAAGTAGATGGGATTTCTCAGGAGCCTTCCGCCTCAGGAGTGACTGAATCCAGAAAGAAGCACGGGGCAGAGGGGGTGGTCCATGGGGGCTCCAGGGCAAAGCACCATGGCTTCAGGATGCAGGTGGAAAGAGAAGTGGGTACAGATGGGCAAGTGGAATGAGCAGAGTGAGGAAGAACCATGGGGTCCGGCTCTCAGCTGAAGGAAGGAGGGGAAGGTGAAACGTGTCCAGGCAGGTAAGTAGAGAGATGTGGTGGTGACACTCTTGCTCTTGGTTAAGAACAGGAAGGGGGCTGGGAGAAGGTTGGTAGGGGAGTGTGCAGAGGACCTGCTACATAATTGTCAGGGCCCAAGGAAATGCAGTTTAAAGGGACTAAAATTTAGAGCTTTTTCCTTTCTTCTGCCATCTGTCTCAACTTAGGTTGTTTTTTTTTTTTTAAGATTTTATTTATTTATTTGAGAGAGAGAGCATGCAAACAAGCAGGGGGAGGAGCCGAGGGAGAGGGACAAATTCCATTGTCCCACTGGTCTTCAGTTAGAACACACAAATCATAGATAAAATTATTAAGAGTTCAAGACAGCGATAGCAGAGCAGTGAACCAAGTGCGGGCCCTTCTGAGTGTGGGTTCTTATGTAATTGCACAGATCCTGGAGGAGGATCCTGTAAAGACCCACCTAAAAGGAAGGAGGGACAGAAAAGCACAAGGGAAACGAGCCAAGGGTATATCCTGAGCAGCCCTCTTGAGCCCCAAGAGCATGAGTGGAAAGAAGCAAGAAGACCAGCAAAATGAAGAAATGACAACCTACAGTTTAAAGTAAGAATGGAGGCAGAAGTACTTCCAACATTATGTAGAAGAACTAGAAATCCATGGCTTTCCAGGGCCATTCAGTATGGTAGAGCCCCTCACACCTCTGAAACTTGAGTCTGCCAGGGCTTTGCAGCTGAGCCCACGGATGCTCAGGAAAAGGCCTTGCTATCCTTAAAAGCGGGTGGAGTTACAGTGAGCATTTTTTATTTTAAAAACATGTATGCAAGGGGTGCCTTGGTGGCTCAGTCGGTTGAGTATCTGACTCTTGGTTTCAGCTCAGGTCATGATCTCGGGGTGGTAAGATTGAGCCCCATGTTGGACTCCACACTGAAGGTGGCGCCTGCTTAAGATTCTCTCTCTCCCTCTCCTCTACCACCCACCCATGCTCTCTTTTTAAAATGAATACATACATCTTTAAAAAACATAAAAAATATAAAACATGTATGCAATATGTTTTAGAAAGTTTTCTTTCCAATGTATATAATAATATGTATATATTTTAAGTTCCAATTGTGGGAGAGTTAAGCTTTAAATTTCTAGACACCTGCTTGTGTGGCATACCACAAAAATGAGAGGCTATTGTAGTTTTGACAGTCTGTAGACAATATTTAAAGCTCTAGATAATTGCAGAGAGAAGTATTTGGAGAGCATGAGCTGTGTCTTCATTTCTTTTGGTAACCGGTGCTCCTTGGTTGAGACGCACATTGGATTGTTGGTAAATTTGTGTTGAAGGGCTGTGTATGGCTTGGGGAAGGATCCAAAGTGAACCTGGTGGGTGGCCTTGTAAATTCTACCTTCATTTAAAGTTGGTTTTCTTGAAAAACTCATAGAAATATAAAAGAAATCTCAAAACATTAAGAAGTATGGCTTGCTTTGTGTTCTTCTAAAAATTACTAAATTGTTTCCATTAAATGTTAATTCTAACAAAATAGCATTGAGTGAATGAATGAAAAAGGTAAAAAAAGGAGACAGCAACTCTGTCGGTAATCGCCGTCTCCGATTCCTCACCTTTAACATGAGTGTTTTAAACTGTATGGTGCATTCCAACTTCAAATTCTATGACTCTGGTAATATTTATAAATGCAATTAAGATGGTCACTGCTTGATAAGAGGAAATTAAGTACATTTATGTAATATGGCAATTTATTTACTACCAGGTATTAAACTGAATACAATGGTGTTTACACAATAGGAGAGTAGATGGCAGGCAGAAGGTGGGAACAAGATCCATTCATTTCTTTAACCAGGAATCGCCAAATGCCTATGGCTGCCCCATGCTATATATAACCTAAGTGTAGGTTGAAGTAGAAGCTACCATCCCTAACTTCAAGACATACGAATAAAGCCATTGGACACAATGTCATCAAGAATAAGACTACAGGAGAGAAGGTGGGTGCCCAGAGGAGTGGTCTCCCTGAGGGCCCAAGGGCACATTGAGTTTGCACGATTCCCACTTGCTGAGAGCCAGGGTGGGTGCATCTGCTTGTCCGCTCAATGGGAAGAATTATGGCATCTTTTAATGAATCATTCATTCAGCAAAAATATTTCTTGAGCACCTGTTAAGTCGCAGGCATTGTGCTAGGAACTAGAGATACAAAGAGGAGCAAATGGTGCCCTGTCCCCAAATTGTTCGACTGGTGGTTAAGGACAGTCGAGGTGACGAAGGGCAGGGCAGCGTGGCAGTTGGGGTTGGCAGGCACAGTGGCAGGCTACCTGACTACCCTCCCCACCAACTACCTCTCCTAACTGGTGATGGCAGGTTCCCGTTGTGTCTGAATATGGCCTCAGCATCCTTCGTGACGCTGCAACCAAGGAATCACTACCCATCAGTCAGATCTAGAACAAAAGATGGAACCTATTTACTTCCCAGGCAACAAAGGACTGCAATCACACTGCACACATTTGCTAGGGGAGCACAGAGGAGCTGTTGGCTAGCACTTTTGGAGTGGGATTTGGGTGAGAAGTCACAGAGTGGGCGGCGAATCAACTGGACCTCAAAGGATGAATGGATTCTGTAGGTTAGAAACCGCCAGCTCCCCTTTCACTTCCTGCACTGTTGCTGCCTTTTTTTGCAACGTGGAGAGAAGGTAATGGTCCCTGGGAAACACGACTTCCTTTTCTGTAATGGTGGAGCCTATTCGGGGTCCCTGATGGAAGTAGCAGACCCCCCGGGAGGGATGGAGACTTGAGGTAGGTAGTGTGGCAGAGCCAGCCTGTTGGAGGAAGTCCAGGTCGCTGGCCCAGCCACCGGGTTTACTTTGGCAGAAGAATGTCCACCCTCTTCATGTAGCTGGTGCCAAGCAGGCCCGGCACAGTGAGCTCATGGCGTTCTCTGGGTCCTGGAGCTAGAGACTTGGGGTGGAGGGAATTGGAGGACTGGAGATAGCTCTACCAGCTTGGGGTTGGCAGCAGGCAGGGCACGGGGCCAATGGAGACAGGAAATCTTCTGGGCTTTCAGACATTGTGTCATATGATTGTTTATTTGGGAAGAGGAAGCCATCCAGGGAGCACTGGTGCCCATCACCACCTCCTGAGAGAGAAATCCAGCTGGCGCACGTGCTACCCTCCTCACCCACATGCCCACGGAGTGCGTGTGCACGTGCACGCACACACACACACACACACACAGGCACACATCCCCTCATCTCCCGCCCACCACCCCCAACCCTGTGCGCACAGGCGAGGCGAGTTTGCCACATTCAAAGAGACATAACAGAGCTCCAGTGCCCTGTGCCTACATGTCTACTCAGATCGCGCTGCAGGGGATCCAATTTTCCAGTGTCTCTTGGGCAAGTCATGATTTGCTGAACCTCGGTTTCCCCATCTTTAAAATGCAGAAAGGAAAACTTCTTCCACCTACCACCTGAGAAGACAGACAGGAGCCATGAGGAACAGAATAGCCCCATCCATCCAATAGTAACTTTTGTCCTCATGATAACCCTGAGGCTAGATCCCTACGGAGCTAGATCCTTACAGACCCTTCCTTGTCTCCATAGTCAGTCCTGCTGGACTCTTCCAGACATCGAATAACCATCACCTCTCCAATCCCACTGCCTCTGTCCTAATTTCGACCCTGGTTGCGTGCACCTCAGCCTCTGCAATGGCCTTCGTCCCATCTCTAGGCACCATGCATCCTACCGAAGAGTTGGCTCTCGTCACATTTCTCCTCTCTCCAAGCCCTTGAGACTTCCTCCTTGCTGACAGACTGAAACTCTAATTTCAAATTCCTCCCTACCTTTCCAGTCATACATTTTATTTTTCCCATATCAACCTCCTCTGTTATAGCCGCACCAGGTTGCTATTTCTACAACTACCTTTGCAAATTCTTACCTTTGTAGATTTGTTTCTTTCCCTTTATTTTGGGATGTGCTTTTTTTTTTTTTCAAAACTCATCACATCTATCTATTTGGAAAAACAACAGAGTAAGTTCCTTGCTCAGACTGAAGGAGCCTGACGAAAGTTTGGTCAGGGAGGGAGTCCTTGTCAGACCTTCACAAATAGGATCCTGCCCATCTTTGAGCTCCAGGAGGCCCCTGCTCTGGAGTACAGTCAACAGAATTTCCTAAATTCCTTCACATGCGTTAGATCAGCTGGGTTTACCGCCCACAGCCCGACCCAGAATCTTTAGGTGTCCAAGACCCTGTTTCTCCCCTTCAAGCCCTCCCTGACCCTCTAATCTACACATGGAGTGGACTAGATGTCCCAAAGAGCTCCAAGACTCACACCTATAGTGTCATCCCTGGGCTCTAATGGAGGACAGCCTGGTAAGTGGATAGCTCCTACTGATAAGTGTGGTCTTTGTTTTGTGGATTTGTGTGAGATTGGGCCACCAAAAAGGTATGGACGTATTGATTTGCGGTGGCTCTTATGGATGCAGGGTGAGTTTGGGGGTCTAGGCTATTGAGGGTCCACTGCTGACCCTTGGACTTGAGCCATGTCTATAGACCTGCACATCAGCTCTCACCCTTATATGCGCTGCTGCTGGTCTGTAACACTTGAGGGACATGAGTCTCATGGCAGGCATCCTTATCCCCTGTGTCTCCACCTCAGCATCCAGGGAAGTCACCCTGTGTCCTCAAGAGGCTCTGTGTCACAGGGCAGAAAGTCCTCTGGGGGTGGGAGTGGCTTTTGAGACCACTGTTCCAGAATGCCTATGGGCTTTTCTCATCAGTATCCTCTCTAGCCTCTAACTAATATGCAATGTTATGCTTTTCCAGATCAGTCTTACCCCATGTTGGACAAGGGATAGACATTCCTCGCCTAAGTAGTTTCTCTTCTCATTCCACCCACAGGCTCCTGCCTTCCTTCCCACTGGTGGCAGTCTGCAGAAAGCAGGACATATTCTTTTCTAGGGCTGCTGTAACAAATTACCATAAACTCGGTGTCTTCAAACAATAGAAATTTATTCTCTTATAGTTCTGGAGGCCAAAAGTCTGAAATCAAGGTGTCAGCAGGGCTGATTCCTTCTGGAGGCTCTGAGTGAAAACATGTTCAGTGCTTCTTTCTTAGCTTCTGTGTTGCCAACAACCCTTGGTATTCTTTGGCTTCTAGATGTTTCATTCCAATCTCTGATCCATCTTCACCTGGTATTACTCCCTGAGTGTATATGTGTCTCCAAGTTTCCCTCTTCTTGTAAGGACACCACTCACTGGATTTATGGCTCACCCTGATACAGTTTGACCTTATCTTAACTTGATCACATCCGTACAAACCTTATTTCCAAATAAGGTCACATTCACAGGTTCCAGGTAAGCATGAGTCTTAGGGGGACACCCTTCAACCAAACCTACAGCAATTTTGTTAACAATGAAAGAGACCACATGCTAGGAATGCAGTGATTACAGTCTTAGGAGTTTAAGAGAAGACACGGGTGGAAAAATGTATTGTTTTAGGTTTATACTATGTAATTCCAAATGGTAAATTTAACATGATCTGGAAATGAACGATGGCTCATATTTTCCTGCATACTTTGGGTAAGACTAGCACGTGAAGTCCTCCTCAACAGAGCACAGTAACAGCTTTTGAGAGTCATTGGAAGCCAGTGTTCACAGACCTGCGGATGGATGACGCAACGTTATGAGTCAGCGGTATTAGGGAACTATAGGGGCGAGAAGAGCTGTACTGTTTCAGTACAAGTAAGTTCTGAAGAGCCATGGCATTATGGGTAATAATGGCATTGTCACCTTTTCTCCAGGTGGGGAATATGGCATTAAGAATGGTGTATTTGGCGTTAGTGAACAAGAAGGAAAATGAAAAGGTGGGTTTTGGACTTGAACAGGAAGAGAGGGTGCCTGGATACTATGGGGAATCCTTATGTGCACTGCCGAAACAATAAATAAATATGTAAATACCTCTTCTCTACCCATTATTCTAAATCCTTATCATTAAATCACTGTATTTCACATGGGCCATGGATTTTGTAATGCATTTTGAAATCAGGTTGTTTACGTAGACAGGCACTTTACAACAAATATTTGCCTTGTGCCCCGCACATCCTGAATAAAAGCAGTTCTCTCACACAGCCTCCGAGTGGAGTGAGGGCTCTCAATTAAATCACATCCTCAGGATAATTGCACAGCCCTGACCTGGTGCTTGGCTAACTAAGGGAAATCCCAGTGGGGGCCCTAAGTGATTTCCACCTGGGAATTCTCATGAGGGGAATGAGGCAATAAGACAATACAAACTCAAGGAAGGGGGGGCATAAAGGAAAGATAATTACATAATTTTATATATATAATATACTATATACCATATAATATGTATAGGTGATTTTTCATACTAATTATAGAGAAGTAATACTATGGCATTCTGAAAAATTTGAGGTAATTAGCAAATTGTTTCTCTGATCTTCGTAGATTTAGACTGAATCAGCTTTGAGAGTTGTCTTTGAAGATGTGTGTGGGAGTGTGCATGTGTGCACCCTTGATTCAACAATTACTCGCACACCTGCAACTCAGACAGGAAAATCTTGAAGGAGGCCGAACTTACCCATGGACCTCACCTGCCCTGGCTTGCCCAGCTGTTCGGCCATGCTTGGAATGCCAACGGCCATCACTGACCAGCCCCGTTGGTG